AGTTGGGGTTATACAAAGTGTAAAAATACTTTCAGCTGGGTCGATTTTAATTTTTATATAAATCTATGTAAAAAAAAATGTACGCCTTTCTTTCTCGCGTAACGCATAACTTGCGCGATCGCCAATGGGAAGTGCGTTCTGATAAAATGCGAAAGGGAAGGAGGGAAAATGCTGCAGTCTGCACAAAATTTTGCTCAAGCGCGAAATACAACAGGGGGAATACTACCATGAGGAGTAATCTCTGCGTCGCCCAAATGAGCCGAAAAAAATGTAGCCACACATTTGCAATTTTGGCCCCGCGAAATCGTACGGCTGTGCGGTTACCCAGTTTAACTGTCTACTCGGTTTCCTCCATCCGGGGGGAACCATAACATGATGATTTTTAGCAACGCGTTTCTTCTTTCCCTCTTTGCTTGTGATTTTTAGGAGCACTCTTCTCGTCTTCCCCCCTTTTGTCTTCCCTTTTGGAATATCCCTGGCCTGCATCTGGCTGCTCGCCAGCGTCTGTGTGCAAAAGGCGCGAAGTGGCGAAGCGGTGAAGGTGCCTGCGCAACTCTGATAACACTATACAGTGTTTTCTGTTCTTCATTTTTCCAACCTCCAAGCTGCCATGCGTTACGATAAAATGAAAAAAAAAGGGAGTTCACAGCAACAGGGGGAGAATGGCATTCCCGAAAATTCCCCCCAAACGCGCGACACTCATGATAGACATAGCAATCCCAGCGAAGTGCCGTTAAATGAGGCAGGCGCAGACACCAACATGAGTACCATCAGCATCAGCCGCCTCAGCAGCAACAGCAACGAAGCAAATATCCTTTTAAAGAAGAAAAAAAATCAGAGAAAATGTAAAAATAACGCAGCTATCGCGAAAAAGAAGGATACCGAAGAGGCCCATCCCCACTCGAGCGCTTCCAAATATAAACTAGTAAACTACTTTAACAACATCAAGTACAATTTTTCCCTTAGGAGATATCTTAAGATGCTTGTCACAGTCTCCATTTTTAACTACCTACCTCTGAACCTGTGCAACTTATCGAACACGGCCTACATGT